TCAAAAAAAAAAAAAAAAGAAAAAAAAAGAAAGAAAAGAAAAGAAACAAGGAAAACAAAACCCTAAGACTTCTGACAATAAATGATAAGTTTCAAAAGCTTTGCACAGTTTTGGGGCAATACTTCTTCGCCATCAACATAACAGTATTATAACAATACTCCCATTTCAAGTTCACCTCTGCTCAGTCTTAGCCTCGATTGTGTACAAATGTGTTCTTTTCTTTCATTAAAGTCCATTGTATAGTAAGGAATGTAATACAGTATATTTATACAACAATACGAGTTGATTAAAATGCCACAGGCTTTGGTTGAATAGCTGAATATTATGACGCACAACCAAGACTGAGCAAAGAAAACTCGAAACTGGAGTATTTTCCTATTACACTAGAATTTATTTCATGAGTAACAGGGAAATTATGGACTATCTTTTTTACAAAGAGTTGAAAACCTTATTGATTGGAGAGATGAATGAGATGGCTTGGAAAATGGAAAATAATGAGATGTCTCGGAAAATGGAAAAGCTAGATGTTTTTTCTTATTTAACTATATTTATTATTTAATACTTATTGTTCTTTCCAAGGACTATGAAGCTCATCTTGGGAGATTATAATAAAAGGTTATTATGTAAGGACTAGTTCAAACACCACATCTTGTTTTGTGTTTTCATAAATAGCACATTGAAATACATAAACTGTGCCAGCCTCGAGAAGAGTAGCATCCACTAAATARTGAATACTCTAGCTTCGAGTTCTCTAGATCTGTAGCCCAGGGTTTACCCTTGATTTTGAGTAGAATATTCATGTGTTCCAGTGAAGGTCCATCAAATTTCCATTTGGTATTTGTGAATATTTTTGTAACTAATGTGAAGCTTAAACCCAGAGTAAATGAGTCTGTAGTCAAGGAAAACAGCAGTAATTTGGAACTTGAAAAAGGTATATTCTGAATTTTGTTTTAAAAAATTCCTTTAATAACTTTGAGCTGACACTTGATGATTAACCAAGTTCATGAATGGATGCATTAAGGAAGGTACATGCTATAAAGGATTAATACTTTAAACCAAGCTAATCTACCTTACCAAGGGATGATATCTAGAATTAAGCTTATGTTGTCAAAACAAAGATTTTGGGTGTTCATTTGGAAATATCTTGTTATTAAATAAAGTATGGTCTAAATCTATGAAAAGCTTTAGTTTTTAAATAAACTTTACAAAGAAATATCGAGAAGTATTGCCAGCTTTATTTTATATCAAAGCGTTGCTCAAGACAAATTAAGACTTACTACAGAACAGCCAAAGAAAAAAAAACTTATGACTAAGATAAAACTTAATTCAAGATTAACCTTTAATTTGCTAGCTTTCAAAAGCGAGAAATGTAGATTAAAATAACAGTTTGGATAAACAAAATAAGGTATATTTACATAAGGTTTAGCAACGCATAAGAAAAGCTACCTCAAGAAGAATAAATTATTCAGTTTTAATTGCGTCTCATGACTACCGAATACATTATGATAATAATATTCAAACAAACAACTCTTCATTTTGTTCTAACTTTTCGAGAATTAATTTCCTTCCTATGGCAGTCAAGATTATGTGGCTTAAATAACTTATTTAAAGTTTCTGAACAAAGTTTTGTCAACAGTCAAAAAAACAAAACAAGCGAACTTGCCACGAGTTCATTTTCACTCATTTCCTGACCTTCGTGTAAACATAAGCTTACTTACCAGTGCAAAATGTGTGCTTGCAGTGAAGATTACGAGGGATTCTTTGTGGAAAACCGGTTCCATATTTAGAATAGCATAAAGAGCACACAAGCTCCTTCTTCTCAAACATCGCTAATCAAGGATTTTTTTCATATCAAACCCACTCACGTCTGTTCCATGAACACTGTGTACATTACATTGATAGTTTGTTTGGTTTCGAATATTGCGCTAAGAGACATGCGTGATGGAACATACACAGGAATCCCGCATCAGGAGAAAGAAGGGACTGGCTATAAAGTAAAGGTGGGGGATGAAAATTCGATTTGAAGGAGCTATTTTAAACACTAGTGATGAAAATATTTCAAACACTAGTGATAAAAATAGATTTTCATTAGGTTTCAAAACCCATCCACGTGATCCGAAAAGTGTCCATCCATTGGTCGCTGAGCTTATGAATTATTAACGAGTTTGAGAAGATTGTTTTTCAAATGTTCTGGCTAAAATTTATCATTTTAATAGACCTTTCCCGAATTCGCTTGGATGACCGCGAAACAATGGTTTGAAGTCGAGACTGGACTTGATTGATTTGTTCATCAAGTTCAACCTCGCCTTGAAACTATTGTTTCGTGATCAGTCAAGAAAATTCGTGAAAGATCTATTAGAAACGCAAATCTACAATAGAAGAATAACTGATTCAACGRTTCTTACACTTAGTCATTTAAACAATTTGTAAGCTCTAATAAGTCAAATTTTCAAAGTCATGAAAGAAAACAAATCTTGTACGATATTTTTCACTCACCTGTAGCAGAAAGTACGCAATATATAGCTTATAATTTTCCTCATCCTTGTGTGTACAACATCGTCGGGAAATAATTTGCTTCATACAAGTTGTAAAAGAGAAGAAGAATTTTTCTTTCACGACACAGAACCATTGCATTCAGAAAACAGAATAATCTCTTTAACATTTAATTTGTTTTATCCGGTTGCAAAATATATAAGTAAATTTATAAAATTCAACTACGATTATAAACAACAACAAAAATAAACTACCCTATTATGTGAAATGGGGGAAAAAATCCTCTGTATAATTGAAATTTAATTAATAATAATAGTATTCGTTGCCCTTTGARGAATTATATTGAACCACCATACATTGAGCAAGGGAAACAATAAGAAATGTCATGTGCAGTGCAACATTTTCACGGATGCGATTGAGACTACATTTTCTCTAYCATACAAGAATTTGGGGAATCCAGTTCCATCGGTCTCGTTATTCCTGTTGTTTTAGGACCATCAAAATATAATGATAACCTACTTCCTGAGGAATGAAAGAAAGAAGATTTTCGCAAATTGAGGACTTTCGCATGGCAAATTTAGAGACATTTGCTCCACCAGAGCCTTCAAAGAGCTTAGAGAATGATAAAAAGGAAAGAAAAAACAACAACAAAAAACTAATGCATTTACCACTACTGGGTAGACGTCATATTTGCCTTTTTTTTTTTT